CAACAACTGAATCCAAACTTCTAAGTCAAATGACAGAACACCAACTACACCACCTAAAAACCAGTCCTAAAGTACCATGAAAGCCTCCCAAAGAAAATCATTGGTTCAGTTTTCCAGAAAGCTAAATATTTCCCCATCCATACAGACAGTCATATTGGTTATACATGTTAGATCCAAGTTCAAATTTCCCTAAATGCATTTGCATATGCAGTACATGACATAGACATTGCCTTTTTCTCCCCATAAATATTTTCAGTGTTGAATGAACATTCTTTATTCACTTGCACCATTATTATTTTGGAATTAAGTCTGTATATAATTCATTATCTACAGTTACATGCCTATCTCTGGGTTCATGTCATTCAGTGTTGTGACAATTAAAAAAACCCTGGGACTTAAAACTTAAATCTCATTGAAAAATTAATTGTGGAGTTGCACACAAGGTCGTCTAACGCCGAAGTATTTTGACGCATAATTTAATCTCACTTAAAGCATACATATATATTTTCCTACCCGTTTCTTTAGAGAGTGTCTCCAGAATTCTTTACAGCCCTAACATCATTCCCCTGAAACCTTTCAATGTTCATGTTTTCAAGATTTTTAAATTCCCAAAATAATAAAACCTTGTCTGTTGCCCACTGAAAGATTAAGATCAGAAAAAAGGAGCACAGTTTCTCCATTTAGAACAGCAAAGGTTCATCAGTAATCATTTCTGCAGAGAAAAAAACATAAAATAAAGGAAAGGTTATAAAAGGTTACCTTCTCACAATAACTAAAATTTGCTTTTTCTTTTCAAAGACAAGGAAAAGGGTAGCTGTACCAGAGAGTGCTTAGAAAGCACTATCTTTCAAGATAGGAAAGAAATTCCAGGTGACATCATTTTTGGCCAAAGCTCAAAGGCTACTGTGAAGGGATACAGCTCTTCCCAATTATTCCCCACATAAAGATCAAAATGAAGGCAAAGGGCCAATTCTTAGAGATACCTCATCCCAAATGTGCTATGTGATTACCTACATACTCATCACATATGTCAGAAGTACCTTTTTTACCAGTAGAGGCACAAACGCTCCTTAAGTAGAACTGAAATAGATTTCTTCTCCACTCTGCTTTCCTTAATAATGATGATGATCAAAGGCCAAAGTGGTTTACACAAAGCAGCATTGATTCTACTTATGCAACACTGGACCAATTAAAAACAGTACTGGTGAAGCCACGTTGGCTGGGGGGGGGAGGGCGGTCACTAAAGGTCCTGTCACCTAGAATACCAGTTTTGTTCCAAAGAAGCATAATGGGGTTTTTTAAGCCAGGACAATTTTTTTTAGGCCTCTGCCTGTACAGAGAAGTTATACCAATTGAATCCAAATTATTTTTAAACTGGTTTTGACTGCATAAATGCCTAAGCAAAAGCACTTTACATTAACATATTTTATTTTGCAGTTGAAGTGGGCTAGGAATGCACACCCACTCAGCTACCATGACTCAGTCAATCAAGAGTATCTCTTTAAGCTACAATAGCTTGATTACTTGCAGCAGCTTGTCTCTACCTGAAAAGAGCTGAACTGATTTTGAACCAACCAATTAAAGTAAGCTCACACTTCTGAATTTACCTCTGAAAACCAATATCAACCAGTTTTACGTTTCCACAATGAATTGCCCATCAACATAATTACATCGCCTTCATTTATCGTTAAGTGTGTGGTTAGATACGAGGGCAAAACTTTCTGTTAGTCTGTTAGCATTAAGGAACTCAAAGGGTACTTCAAATACACAGCTCAATCGATCCCCATGTTAAAAAAAAAAAAAAAAGGTGCTTCGTGGTGTAAAATAAGTTGGTTCCACAGGACAGAAACCAGCATGATTCCTACACATTATCCAGTGTCACCAGAGCTGGCTGGTTCGTTTAGCCCTCAGGGCAGCTCCGCAGATGCGGTGCGGGGTACTCCACCAACTTTGGCAAGTGCCCAAAGGCAGAGGAGCAGCAGCCATGGGAAGGCAAAGTGAAGCCCCTGCCCAGGACACCGAGGGGCCAGTCCTGTATCCTCCCCCATGGCTCCAGCCCTGCTATCATACCCTTCAGTAAACTCCGTTTCACTTTCAGGGACATACTTAGGCTCCCAGGAAGAGAGATCACTCACCTCCATGTCATGCCCACGCGGTTCCCCTACATTGTGTGGGACAACGATGGGCTGAAGTGTGAGCACACTACCTCAGGCTCTCCCTCTCTATGTAGAGCATCTATCTGTTTACACACACGCTTCCCAAAGCCTTCTCCCCCCATTTCCCCTTACTCCTCCCAGATCACCCCAAGGAAAAGGGACAGCCTCTGAACACTCCATCCTATGACAAAACACCACCCGATGAGAAAGGCTTTATTCATAAAGACATATTTAGCACTGGACACACTGCTAGCAGTATGTTAAATAACTTCATTCTCTCTGGCCTTCCTGTCATTCCTGATGGAGTAGGCAGACAATGCAAGATCTGGGAGAGAGTAATGATCAGGTGTGGGACTTTAAAGATATCTTGGAAGAAATCAGGGAGCCACTCTAGACAGAATGATACTATGCCTGGGAAAGAGCCTTTCACAAAAGCAAAGCTGGTGTCACAGGAGTGGAAGGCAGTGGACACTGGTGGGAAAATATCCACATGACGGAAGAAACTACTTTCACAGAGCTGGATATAAAAGTTTTAAACTACAGAACAAGTATCATACAAAGCAGAGCTGTGCAAACTTTCCAGTGATGAACTCCAACAGTACTACGAAAATAATACCACAGCCTTGGCCTTTTCTGCTTAAATAACAAGCTGTAAGCAAGAGCCAAAGATGTCTATCATTTGGAGAGCAAAAAGTAGACTGAGACCACACTCTCACTTTACAGATAGCTACAAAGATTACATGAAGATAGGACTGTAAAGACATATCTTTATGTCCCTGCCAACCTAATCAAGATGGTATTAACAGTGATCTCACACTCCATCTGCCTGGCTAGCAATTTATGAAAAGCGTACTTCACTATTACAGGAAAAATATGTTGCACTGCTTGTGGCCACAAACCTACTGCAGCAGCTCAGGAACTCTTGGATCAGAGGGCGACAGACTCGTTCTTGACGTTTACCAGGTACTGCCCATAAGATCTGATTCATTCCTATAGCGATTTTGGGTTTTTGTTTGTTTGCCCTACTGATGATCTCATCTTCAGACAGATAAAACTGCTGACAAAAAACTTACAGTCCCTTGCAATTCAGAGCGTAAAACCATACTGTTTTGCTTTTCCTCCTGTGAATTCTACATAGGTACTTCACTTAATTTTATGGGATACTTTATACATATTGAGTATTGAGTGAAAAATCTCCCTATTCTTGCACCGATCAGCAATAATTTCTGATTGAATTACTCTTTTTCCTGCCAGAAAACAGAAAAACTCATCTTGCTTACCGGAACTTTATTCCTTCTAACATTGCATGACTGTTCCTTTAGCTTACATTGCCTAAGAATCACACCTATGAGGTTTGCTTGTTGCAGAATGGTTTTTTGGAGTTTGGTTTTTGGTTTGTTTGAGGATTTGTTGGTTGGTTGGTTGGTTTGGGGTTTTTTTTTGGAGGGGGGGAGGGGTGGTGGTGGTGGTAATGGTGCCATTTTGGAGAACAATATGAAAACCTCCGATTTCCATCAAGGCAAAGTTCAAGAGCAGCATTCTCCTATCAGAATTACATTAAATGACCTCTGGGTATCAAAACAAACAAACAAACAAACCCACCAGTATCAACACACTGGAATTAATTGCTAATTATGCATTTCTTCACTGAGCAGAACTACTGTCTGGATCATCCTTCTAGTTGCTGCAGCAGAGAAAGACTAGATATGCACTGAAGAACATACTAAAGCAGGACAAAAAAACCCTGCTGTAGTTCTACAAATGTTCTTTCTGCTGCACATTGGGGAAGAAGTATCTAGGAAAGTACTTACTGCTATAAATGAGTAGGTTAGGATATTTAGGGCAGTTACTAAGGAAGAGCAGCCTATGGTCTATTCAATTTATACTCATATGAACAACAACTTAAAAAAGACATCACTGCTTTTTACGCTGAATAGCAACAAGGCAAAATGAGCCTCTAATATTGCTAGAAGGCTTGTACGCTCAATATCATTTGTAAGACCTGTCACAATCAGAATATGCAGTTTTCCTTCTCTAGTTGTGGGACAAGACATGGGCTTGGAACACGAGAATATTTTCTTACCAAATATATACCCAAAGTACTTTGTATACAAAGGCTGAGCAAATCTCAAGAACAATTTTATCAAGAAAATAGGTAAATTCAGTTTCAGTAGCACTTGTTCCATCTTCAGCAATGCAGAACTCTTTATTCTGTTCAGAAACACTCTTCTAACAATCTCGCTTTGCCAGATCAAAAACCCTACAGATTTGTCTTTTAGAAACATCCTTAGAAAACAAGAAATCAAAATATCTTCACTTTAACCAACAGATACACACTTTGTAGCTTTGCTAATATATGCAAATTGCCTGATTGCTTGAAATTACTGATTAACCAGGCTGGAGAGCTGATTACCTGATTATCCAAGAGAAAAATAATTTAGCATGATTTTGTGTCATTTGACAGTCTAGGTAATTTTTTAATTAATTTGGGTTTTCAAGTGAATTCAGAGATACTACAGAAAAAGAGGTCAATGATCAGATAAAGGTAAGCTTTTCAGGAATTTTTTTCTTACAACAATCATTTGTCAAATGTTAGTGTACAGACACTTCAGACACACACACAGATGAGAACTTAGACTTCCAAAATATTCAAAAACCAACCCATGGTAAATGCTCTTGTAGAGCATACCTTGCAGAGCTGGACATAAGATTAGTGGTGCACTAGTCTGACACAAGGCATCAAACCTCCAATGTTACCAATAAATTCAGACCTACACACAAAGCAATATGTAGCAGGTATTTTGTCAATATGCTGAGTGAATAATAAATACTGGAAATACGTACTTGCCACTGAAAAGTTGTTGAGTGGATATGGCAGATCCACATCCTGAGGCTTCTCCTTATAGCCTATGAAAGAGCCATCTGTCTTTAGCAGGAAATATCTTGGCCGCCAGTTTTTTATATATTCTCCTACAGAAGGAAAAAAAAAAAAGTATTCATTAGCACTGCAGACGAAAAGCTTTGATATTAAAAAAATAACATATTATCAGTGTCTAACATTAATTATACCAAAATCTTTTAGAGATGTTTTCAATTTACAGAGGGAACCTTAATTCCTTCCAAAAGAAGAGAAAATGGAATTGCAGTGGTAAGCCAGGATGATACAACTGACGCCCCAGAATAAGAAGCTGCAAGCACCATATAATAATGCTCTATAATTCTAAATTTCATCATGCTATACTCTTCAAAAGCCTCCATCTTTACACATATATACAGTTTGAAGTTTGCTGCAGGCAAAAATAAGCACCACAGCTTGACTTTTAATAACAAAATTAAATCTAAACTACTACAAGGTAGGACATTTATCCTGCTGACCCAAAGCCAAACCCACTAATTTCCACATAACATACACTGAGCAAATACAAGACAACTGGGGGTAATGGGAAAGCCTACGCAAAATATACTTAACAAATATATCTGAAAGTAAAAGGAATAAAAAAGTAGAAGCCAATTACCTTTTAAAAGGTAAATCCATCAATAAACCTACCACCACTGCTTTTCCTCCATACCCTAGTCTGAGCAGGACATTCTGCTAGCAGTTCAGAACAAGAAACATACAGAACAGGTCAGCAAAGACAATAGCTTCATTAATGCCACTTCTTTGCTATTTAAAGGTTAAAAACCAAAATCTCAGCAACAATTTTGTTTTTAAAGTGTAATTATTCACTGAAGTACAGGTGAGTTTAGATCTGCCCAGCTTTCCAATCTCTGGTTTCTATCACCTCTGCAGAGTAAGTAACGTATGCACAAGTACTTACTAAGACTTTAAATAAGTCACCGTTTTATCATGATACAAGTGAACATTCAAATAAAAAAGAAATGTATGTGACAATGCAGAGCTTCCAGCCATGCCTAGGACTTTTCACCATTTGCAGAAAGCTCAGAACTGACCAGTCCAGCAGCTGACTGGGCCTGGGCTAAACCCAGCCCTCTAGTGCCATTCACCACCTCAGCACCCTGCTAACTGTAGCTACGTAGCTTTTAGACAACTCAAAGGTCACAAAGAAATATACATCGAGAATACTCCATTAAAGGCTAATATAAAAATTCACTGATCGCATCTTTACCTTTCCATCACAGCAATCAATTGTCACTGAAGTTCAACACAGGAATTGTTAAATATGGCCTTGCTAAACTTGATCACAACTTGTAAGGCTTTTGATGATGCCTATGGCTTACAAACCTAAGTGCAGCCATTAACATTTCCGATTTTCAACACATATTTAAGCAGAGAAGCAGGGTAGGAAGGAGGAGACAGAAAAGAGGAAACAGTGAGAAAAATGAACTAATCGTGTTATGTTTCCTGGCACTCGGTAGAAAAACTCTTCCTGTTTAGTCTTGCTTTAGACAGCAGACACCTGCTTGGTTTTGTTATCTAGACATTTGCATATAAGTAGAAAGAAAATTGAAAAAGTCAAAGTATTCCTTAATTTGACCACAGAATTAATAAGAGCAGATATAGAGCTAGTTGCATTTGTATTGACTCAGAGCTTTCTATCTCAGACCTCTGGTGCTAGCTCAGCTGGGAACATCCCTACTGACACTGCCAGTCTGAACTGATTTCCCACTGGGAAACGCCAGCTCACATAAAAGCAAGCAATAAAAAAACCCCCAAACCAAACCAACAGGTATGAGATATTTGTAAGCTGGAGAAGAAATACAAGTGCAGTATGGGAAAACAAATGTGTTAACTTCAAGAACAACAACAGTGAAAACTGTATCATCATCAGGCCATGAAAAGGTAAAGACATTTATGGAATTAAGTTTGCTGAATACTTGAAAATTAAATAATTATAGGCCTAAGTAAAGGTGTGACTCATATTTTAGGAACATTTAAAATATGCCCTGCAAGAAATCTGCTAAAATCTGCATGGATTCAAAAGTTGAAGCCAAACCAAAACCTTATGTACCAGATCATCCAATCTAAGTTTTAAAAATATTAACATCCTAGTTGATTTCTTAAACAGACCATAAAGAGAAATTCTGTATAATTCCAATAAATTATATCCTATTTAGTTCTAACAGTAACTGACTGTTATCGAAGTGGCTGTTAGGACATTTAAAATCTATCAAGATCTTAGTTCTATCTAGAAGATATGTTAACTGGAAGGCAGGCACCTACAGCTGCTGAAGAAGAAAGAGCTCCAGGACAAGCCTGGGGCGAACGCAAACATGCCTAAAACAGGCCAGCCATCCAATGGCTCAGGTTTCAAAGACAGTCCTCCTTTCGGTAAGGAATAAACTGGATGGGGAGAAAAGCAGAGTCTGCTCGAAGACTCAGAGCTGATAAGGTAAATACACTCATCAGTCATCCCAGGAAAGAGGAGAAGCCTTTACTCACTTACATACACACTCTCTGGAACTAAACCCGTAGAAAAGGAGACCGTCCTAGCAGGTGCCCTTAAAGACCCAGCACACATTTCCCTGATCACTTACTCCCTCTTCTCATCTTAACACAACACTTTAGACTGCATTGGGCTTTTGCTAGGTACTCCGAGTCCCTTAGTTAGAAAACCAAACAGATTTTTGGACATCTACTGACTTACGAAGTTGATGTTCTGCATTTAGAAAAACCATTAGAAGAGTATGACTAGCACTTCCAAGCTCCTCTGAAGAGAGGTAGTGACTTTAGACAAAACCTAATCACAAGAAGACATAAATATTGAATGGCATGTAAGTACCAGTTTATCCATGAGCACAGCTGTACCGCTGTCTTCACCATGCAAACTACAGCCAGACACGGGATGTGTAATTTAAAAGCAATTGCAAAACACTATGGCTTCATAAGGATCCATATATTACTTTCATAGACATATTTCTTTGAAGAATGTTTCTCCTAAATGGTTCCCCCAACATGAATCACGGTCAGACTACTTTTTCAAGACATCTGAACAAACACACACAGATACACACACACCAGTTTTGTCTTGAAATGACCAATATTCCAATCCCTCTTCAAGGCCTATACATGAATATTTATCATCTGCCCTTTATTTATTTTGTAATTTAATTAACAAATGGGTGAACACTTTTGAAGACTAAAGTAAACAGTTGTATCAGTGAAGAGTTCACTTAGCTGCTCAAGTGGTTTAATGGCTCTCAAGATGCACTCTAGGTGCTCTCTTGTAACTGCATTCCTTCTACATAATCTGCTTAAAGACAGAAAAACATTTTAGTCCATACTTCTTAATAGACATGTGCTTACTGAACTGCTTTGAAAGAGAAATCCTCCATACAAAAAACACAGCAGAGTATTTGAAAAGAAAAAATGCTTCCACATGTCTTCTGACTTACCAGACCCACACTGACAATAAAAAAAAGTATATTTTATAGTATAAGCAATATTAAATTACTTTAAAGATATTTGGATATATTGGAGCAAACAACAGGAAATTTACATCTGAAATTCATTAATCCAAGTGAAAAGAAATTCCACGAGAAAGGAGAAGTCCAGGCAGGCTAACCAAACCACGAGATACCCTGACAATTTAATGAAATGGAGCTGCAGTACTTAAAAAGCAGTGGATCTGCCACAGAGAATTAATCAGTTTCTACCCTGCTTCCTGCTGATGTAAGCTAAATTATTATTTTGCTTAAATTTTCACTCTTTTAAGTTGAAAAACATGTTCTCCTAGGATCTGTTTATCAGACAGTAAGAAGAGGTCTCTAATTTGAACCACTGCAGCAAAGAAAGTAATTCCTACATCATTTTAATTCTAGTCAAAGTTTTTAAAGCTACTTGAGAAAAGTGGCACTAGAACATATATCTCACAGATATATACAGGCAATAAATATACACACACAAAATACAAATTTAGAATCAGTTTTAGGCTGTTGAGGTCTGCTTTTTTAATAACTACTGAGAGAACATACCCAAAGGACAAAGTAAGACAGCAGTACATCCTTGAAGCACATGAAAATGCAATCTGATCTTCACGCAAAAAGCACCCTCACAACATGTGACTCTTTAATTAACGTTGTATTTAATAATACACTGGCTAACAACAGTAACAAAGAATGCTTAATGTTTGCTTGTTTAGAACATGACCCTGGCGGCTGGCTCTGCATTCGCCTCTGTACTGCAACCTTGCTGATTTTTCTTTTTTGCCTTTGACAGCTAGTAACAAGAACCCTGCCTTCAGGACTTTCCACAAAACAGGTTTATTCTAGTGATGCAGTGTTTGTGGGTTTGATACTCCTGAGCAGCTTCACAAAGAAGAGCTTTCTAAGAAATTGTATCAGTAGTCAACAAACCCGTGTTAGACAAATGTATCACTCTTAAGTTCGTAATTTTCTGCTTCACCTCAGAACTTAAACTCTTCAAACACATACTTCACCTCAGATTTGATGGCTGCAGTTGTTAGCCCCACCACTTGTAATCCTTAAGCATATAGAAATTTAGCAGTTCTTGAAAAATTATTCAGTAATTTAAAATTAATTTTACTATTAAAAAAAATGAGTTTTTTTAAAATCATTTTTGCAAAACATCTACTTTTTTCATTATGTAAATGGTTTAGAGGTGTGAAGGAAATGTCTTTAATATACAGTGCTGATAAGCAACAGAAACCTGAGTTCAAAACCTTGCTTACTTAAAAGAAGCAACAGCTGCCACACAGACATAAGTGAGATTTAAGGGCGG